TCGCGGGCGCCCCTCGTGCGCGCCAGTGCTTTTCTGTAGCCTGCCGCCTCCCCCAGAGCCAGGCTGGGTCCCGCTGGGTCCCGCGTGTCGGCAACGTTTCGCCTCGAAGCAGGAAGGAAGCAGGCGGCGAAGCTCAGTGCCATCCGTAAAGGGGCACAGTTTTTCCCTCTGGGTGAAAAACCTCCAGTTGGTAGGACGAGCAAATACACATCCTGCTTTTCATTAAGACAGCCGAAAGAACTCAAGCCTGACTTTGCAGGAGCTTCCTTTCCAAACTGTCGCTGAGCCAGCTCCCGACAAGAGCGCGCTGCCCGTATCCCGGGGGTGCGGTCAGGCAGTCAGCCGGGGTGACGGGTGGGGCTCGGCCTGCCGGTGCTGAGAGGGTGCAGCGCTCGCCAGTCTGTGGGACCCTACTCCTCTCTTGCCTCTCCCTTTCGGCCACCTGTGCCCTCTTCCCCTATTCTCCATCTGCAGAAGAGCTCCCCTCCTCTCTGTCCGGACAGAGGGGTATCATACTTCTTGCGCTGTGTGAGATGTGAGCTGTGGTTGCCTTTTCTCTGTCCTCCTGCCTCTGTCTTTGTAGAAGTCATCTTTTTTAAAAGCCCCGCCCCTCTCCAGCGGGCCTTCCTGTAAAGCCCCGCCCCTCTCCAGCGGGCCTTCCTGTAAAGCTCCGCCCCTCCAGTGTGTCTCTGTAAAGCCCCGCCCCTCTCATGTAGGCGGTTTCTTCGAAGCTCCGCCCCTTTCTTGACTGCAGTCTGTAGAGCTCTGCCCTTTCCTGTGTGCTGTCTGTAAGGCTCCACCCTCTCCCTTATCCTACCTGCAAAGATCCACAGCCTTCTCTTGCATGCTGTCTGTAAACTCTACCTGTGTTTTGTCCTGTGTCTAGAAGACTTCATTCCACCAGCTATGCCCCTGTCTCTCATCACACACCTTCGCTCTGTGGGCCTCACCGCAGATCACGCTGTCCTGTTAACGACCCAGCTGTCTGGCTCTGCCTGCTCGGCCTGCTGCCACTGTGGCGTGTGTGTGACTGCACGTGTCTGTGATCAGAACAGGTCACCCACCCGGCTTCCTGTTCTCTGACATCGTCCATTAGACCCAGCTGACCAGTGTTCCTTGCTCAGCCTACGGCTCTTGTCTAGCCCAGTGATTCTCCTCTCTGGCCACTGTGAAGCCCCCAGGGCCTACAGCTCTCCCAGCAGCCAGGCCTTAAGTAGCAGTACGAGTCACATACAGAGTCTGGAGGGGGATCAGCTGCTGTAGAGTCTCAGCTGGACGTCTACTCAGAAGGACATAGCACAAGGGGGTTCAGTCCTTTACTCGGGCAGAGCTGGGGGACCCTGCTGGGTACCTCCTGGTCTAACAAGACCGGACCTGAATATCGGACCGGCTGTCCTCCTGGTCTAACAAGACCGGACCTGAATACCGGACCAGCTGTCCTCCTGGTCTAACAAGACCGGACCTGAACACCAGACCGGCTGTCCTCCTGGTCTAACAATACCGGACCTGAACACTGGACCAGCTGTCCTCCTGGTCTGACAGGACCGGACCTGACCCACTGGGCCATCTGGCCCTGAATTTGCATTGTGCAGTCCAGCAGTGGAGAGCCAGTGGCTGCCACCCTCTGCTGTGGCCGAGGGAAGTTGGTTGTCTGGAGAATCATGGGTCTAGAGGCCCTGATAACCGTGACCCCCGATAACAGTAGCGCCCTGTCGTTGTGTGAGCCCCGCCCCTCCCCTGCCCCTCTCTGTGTGGTGTGTTGCTGCGTGTGGGGAAGGTGAGTAGGAGCTGGGTAAGTAGATCGCGGG